TTATATAAATTAATCAATAAAGATATGAGCAAGGCCTCACCTTAATACCAAAAAAAAAAAAAAAAAAAAAAAAAAAAATTTTTTTAATTGTAAATAAATCTAGCTAAAGATAAAACAAATATATAGTTTTCTAGTATCTTGCAAATCTACAAGAAAAAAAAGAGTTAATACTGATAAAAAAAAACTGCAAGAAAAAATAATAATAATAATAATACTAATGCTTAGCTTTCGTAACAGTTTCAATACAAATCTGAATCTATTGCTGGTCACTTTCCCAAAGCCCAACTATCTAAAATACTATTTCTTCAACTACATAATTACAATATCTCTTTTTCTCAACAAGACCAATTCATTTTACTGACAATTATAGCTGTTTTTATAAATTTTGGGATAACTGATAAAAGTTAATCAGCCAAATTCAGTAAGTTTTTAATCAAATTACTATAATTAAAAATCTAATTCCAGATAGCACTAAATTCAAAAACTTGCTATTATTAGTAGGAGTTTCTCTATTTTTCCAATTTATAATTTAACATAATAAAAATACTATTTAAAAAATCCAAAATACATTACTTATTTGTTAATTATAAGCCCCTAATTGTTTCAGAATTTATGAAAACAGCTGTAATTCACCATTGTAGTTAGAGTCAGATAAAATTAGTTAAAGTTAGTGCAATTTTGAAAAAAACTAGTTAGTAAAATAAATTTGTCAGTTTAATAATTTTTAGTGAAATAATATAGACTTATTTCTGCTCTGTTAGTAAAATAGATTATTAGTACTGCAACTTCAGTGATTTTGAAAAGTCAACCCAGAACTGCCCAGATCTCTGCTCTTGGCACTATTTTCAAGACCTACAAACTTATAAGAAAAATAGTTTAAAATAATCAAAAAATATATACTATATAACTGTGAAATAATATACACAAGCGTTATTTCGAAAATTGGCTCCTAAAAAAATATAATATTTGATTCGAAATAACGCACATGCACATCCCATAATAATGCGCATCTGAGTAAGTCATGGGAAAAGTTAATTTAATATAAAATATCTATTCAGGAAATTAATCTTTTATTTCGAAATACCGCACATGTGTGTTCCAAAATAATGCGCAGATGAATAAATTAACGCGCAGGGGTGCATTATTTTGCGATTATATGGTATATATAAAGAATATGGAAGTATTGTAAACAGAAGAGTATTGTGATCAAGTGAAAAAAATTTGCAATCCAGCAATTATAATTAGATGATTTTTTGTAGCATTCGACTCATTTTAAAGAAATGAATCTAATAGTGCAAAAATTATCTAATTACTAAATCACAAAATATTTTTTACTACTTCATCTACAATACTCCTTTCTTTTTTATATATATAAAAATACTAGTATTTAGCTTCATACCAGTCCTATCTAGAACTCTATTATCATCGTCCAGATCTTTATTCTTGGCAAGATTTTCAATACTCACTCAACTAAAGATTGTACCCGAGTAGATATTTTTATTATATAGCTATAATAAATTACCTGAATAACCAGATAATTTAATAATACCCAGATAGAGATTTTCTTGTCAAGTACAATTTCTACTCCCAACAACACTACAAAAAAGAAAAGATTAGAAGAATAAAAACCGAAAAAAGTAACAAGAAAAAAATACTGATACTTAACTTTCTGGTCCAAAATTCCATTCTCGGAGTATCAGTTTTAGTAGTTTTAGTCCAGATTTTTGTTTTTACTATTTTCATTACTCACAAACCTACAAGAAAGAGAAGGTTAGAAGAATAGAAAATTGAAAAAAAAGTACTGATTAATTTTAGCTTTTGTACTAGTTCTAGTCCAGATTTCTATTTCTGGCACTATTATTAATAATATCTACAAATCTACAAAAAAGAAAAAATTAATAGAATAAAAACTACAAGTAATAAAAAAGAAAAAGATTATTAATAGTTTTCATACTAGTCATGGTTTGTCTAAAAGGAGTAACATGAAAAAAATGCTAGTATTTAGCTTTCATAGCAATCCTAGTTCAAATCATTCTGTGCCATTTTCAATTCTACAAACCTACAAGAAAAAGAAGCCAAAAATAGACATGAGTTTAGAGTTTGCTTTTGCTAAGCATTTGTGACTGTCTCTTTTTTAGGTATACTTATGTATATATGCCCTACAAATCCAGACTTTCTATATAGATCAGAACCTATAAAATAATGTAAAAATACTAGCTAATACAAAATTTTGCTATTTTTGGCACTAAGCAAAAATTTTCAGAATATACTATATATAGCTATTAAATAAAAAGTATTTGTAATACATATTAAATTATCTAAATTCATAGTTAATAGCAATATAGTGATAGTGATTATAAATTAAACTGTTAACTAATTTACATAATTAATAGGTTTTGACTAAGATCATCGAGTGATTATTGCAAAGGTCACAACAGGTTTTATTAAAAATAGATTACCTATTATTATTGTTATACCAAATATTTTATGCAATTTTTTCAAAATAGAAATAATGCTATAAGCCATGTTTTAATTGATCAGACCCCATATATATTTTATATAATATTGTATATTATACTCTTTTGACTAACTATACTATATATATCATCATAATATAATATCTTTGATTTAAAGATGTCTATACTATAAAAAGATTAATTATATATTTTTTATACAGTTTAAAGTACTTTTTAAAAAAATAAACTAAATAAATACATACTAGTAGATCTAGTATTTCAAGTATTTGATTGGTTGATACTTGTAATATATATTTTGTAAAGTTGAGTTTATACACCAAATAGGTCTGGTGCTTCATATATATAGCCAAATAGTATATATAACTGTGACTGGCCTTTTTTGATTAGTTAACTTTAGTCAACTAGCATAACTTATAGAGTTGAGTTAGACTGAACTGGACTTTTAACATCCTTATTGGCATACTATTAATATTAAACTTTAGAAAAAAATATTTTAATCAATTAAATTAATATAATAATTATATGATTATAGTATACATATAGCATTAAGATGTTTAAAATAATAAGTAAATCAAATTATAATTGGGATATATATAAAGATTTTTTATCAGTTTTTAAAATAATTTCAAAAATTTCAAAAAATTAACTAACTTATTATTTTCTTTATTTATTAAACAACTCATTAATATTAATGTTAAATTTAACTTTCATTTATTATTTTTTTTATGGAAATTTCTATGCATCTCTGGTCAGATATGTTTAGCTTAAATATCTCTGGCCCGAAGCTATGCCTAATCATATAACTTTATCAGAATTAGGGTCATATATAGTTAGGGAAAAAGCAAGTTATATAAGCAAAATTGCCTTCCTGACACTTTTAATTAGGTTTAGATAGTCATTTTTGATATTTTTCACATTTCTTTACTTTTTCACGCTTTTTGTTGTTGTTTTGTTTTTTCGGATTGATCTGCAAAGATCATCCTTCGTGCTACATGAAAACAGCAGTCACATGACTATTTTACATTTTAATTGGCTTTTAGCTCTGGAATATTATTGTTAGGCATCTCTGACCAGAGATGCCTAAAAATACTCTTTTTTTATTTATTAAACAAGTCTTTGAACAGTATATTAGCTTCTATTTCACTAAACGTTTTTTGTTTTTTGTTATCTTGTTTTTTATTATCTTGCTTATTTAAGGTACTTTATTTTTTCTTTGTAATGCTAATTCTTTATTAGAGAAAAAACTTGCTTGATATCTAAAAAATAAAGATTAGCTTTTTTAGTTTTAATATTTATATTTGTATAATATTTAAAATCATACTTATTGAACAAACCCTCAATCTGTTGTTGATAAGTAACTATATAATAAATTCAATATTTGACAAATTTATATAGTAGAGGAAAAGTGTGAATTAGCTAATTAGAATTAGCTAAGTTAAGTAGCTCTTTCATAAATAATGAATCTTTTGTTGCTTGTAGCAAGCTGAAATTATTAAAATTAGATTGTTTAATATCTAATTTCAAAAAAGTTGTATAATACAACTTTTTGAAACTAGGAACTCAATTTCATTGCCTTTTTAATCTTATATAGTATATAACTTCTAGCAAACTTATAGCTATATTTATTATCTAATCGACACACACTTAATAGAAATGAAGCCACATACTTATCTACTTATCCAAAGAATTTATAGCCATATCAATACCAGCTTCTAAATTATTAAGGAAATTTTCAAAATCATCTTTATCAAAAATATCAATAGCATCACATAATTCTTTATCAAAAAATAAACAAATATATAGGCTCTATGACCAGGTAAAAGTAGTGTTAGTTGACTATTAGGCTAAAGAATTCATTGGTTCTCTATTGAAACCAATTAGAAAATTCATTATTAGCTCATAAACTTGTTTATTAAACTTTACAAGATATTTAATTTGTATTTTTAAAATTGGACCTATAAGCTATTGTTGAAGAAGTTCCCAATTTGCAAGGTAAGTTTTTAGTATTTTTTTTGTAATTTTAAATTATTTAAAAACCAAAAAGTAAAATCTTCTAAAATTTTCTTCTTTCTACTAGTTGTCTTGCTATCTATATTTTGTATAACCATCATTGCTTTAAAGATTTTTAAAATTTAGTTAGACAAATACCAAATAACTTAAATTATTATGCATTTTGTATAATCATGTGTTTTTTTTTGCCATGATATTTTTGTTACAAAATGATGTAATGAGATATTTTGTTACAAAATGATGTAAACAAGATATAAAGTGCATAAATTACAAATGGGTAAATATTGATTTAATATTTATTTGATTGAGATTACTGATTATAATCATAACTAGAAATTAAAAATACAATTATTGAATATATTTCCTTTAAAAAGCTTATACAATATGTTGGATCTTGATTTTTCTTCCTAAATATTAACTGTGCTTGATATGGTTTGATCAGAAGTTTGAATTGTTAATTCTTGAAGAACATTAGAGACTAAAAGACTTCAATTTTAATATAAAGTGCTAGTTTTATTATTTTTATTCGATTCTAAAAAATAATTAATCATAATATAAATAACTATACAGTAAATTAACAAAACAAATAATAAAAGTATATCTAATAATTCTTTTACTGAATAAAATGAATTTTCAAAGTCAATATTATTTGTGTCTTGAAACTCCAAAGAACTCTTATCAGATGTGGTCTCTTGCTTGTTCACATTTTGATATAAATTATTGTTTTCTATAGAATAAATATAAATAAAACAATAAAAAAAAAAATCTTATAATAAAATTTACTAATTAAATTATTTGATTTTCTAACGATCTCTAATGCATTAAGAAATCCATTTAAACCTTTATGTTGCAATGTTGATTTAGATCGCTCATATAAGTAAAGCCCTTGTTGAGTTTTATGTCTTGTAATAGACATAATAATAGAATCACTATATCCTAATTCTTTAAGAACATGAACAGCTATTTTATGACCTGAATGGTTCGATATATTTCGATCATCTATTTCAATTCCCACATTTTATATATTGATCTTAAAAGACTTTTAAGACTTCTTTCAGGATATGAATAAGCATAAAACCATTGACTATTAAAAGTAGCTAATAAAAAAAGATAAATATTAATATAAATAAATTTTTTTAAATTAATAAATATAGAAAAATTTAATTTATACAACTCTTTTTGACGATCATCTGTACCAAAAATCTAAACACATTTTTCGTAAAAAACACAATAGCACTTAGTAAAAAACAGAGGCACACTACTAGCTATAAGTTGGCAGTTGTTATTTAAAGGTAGTTCTCATACGCTACCTGCTAACTTCTTCAGAGTTTACCACTTACTGCTTGCACGGCACTTGTCGTTTAGAAGTAGTTCTCATACGCTACTTGTCGACAAGCCCAAAGTTTATTACTCACCGAAAAGAAAGTACAGGTGCCCACCCTTTTCTTAGAAGAAGTTTAAGGAGTGGTTGAGTCTTTACATAGATATAACTACTTTCCTTAGATACAAGTAGTCTCTCTCTAGATGTTTTTCGCTTGGCCGGTCTTCTCCAAATTTTTCGACAAAAAGTGGGTGATTTGGCTTACCCTCTCCAAAAGATCGACATTGTTTACTTCCCAAATTCGGACATACCCAGGAATGCAACTATGTGCCTTGTTTATTGGTGGGTATAACACGTGACGTAATCTATGGAAACGGGTCCTCCACATAACTAGAATCAGGTCTCTGGCATAAGAGGCATCCAGAGGTAGCCAGTAGTCGGATATTAAGTTCTTATATTGTAATTGAGATATACAAATGTTGCAGTTGTTATAAAATTTTTTCTTAAACCTGGCACAGATTATAATAGTGCATTTTTTCTTCTTGTTTTGTTTTTTTTATCTCGTTTCCCTTATGCTATTTCTTTATAGAGGTAGTTTCCCTCTTTGTCAGCCCTCGGGCTTTTCTCTTTGTATTTTTTTTTTTTACATCTCACTGTACTCTCTTTTTCTTTCCTTTAAAATATCCCTTCGTTCTATGTGTTTGTTTTTAGTTAGGTTTTCGTTTTGTTTTCTTGGTAGTATTGGTAGTTTTGTATAATATTATCACTTTCTTTTGCTCTCAGTAAAGAAAGGAGATATGAAGGGAAAAGCTTTGACGGGCTAACAAAATTTATCTAACTTGTATACAGGTTGGTACGACAAGTCACATATGGGCACGTTTATCGCAGCCAGATGATATCAGGCTTGCTATCGCGATAACTCCCTGTTTGTAGTTATGAATAATACATGTATTGTTTGAGAAAGCTTAGCTTTCACCTAAATATAGTTGCAATAAATTGAGTACTAGCAAGACTGTCAAAGATTTAAAAAAAAAAAAAAAAAATTAATAAATATAATACTTACTATATTCTTCTTGATATGGCTTTAAATAAAATTTTTTAAATCCAAATAAAGGTCTTTTAGAGAAATAAAGCTCATAATCATCAATTACATCTTTAATATTAGATAAACTAATAGTTTCACCCTGCACATCTGGATTACTAATTCCCTGTTGATTTGTTTTTAATTTGAATAGTTTAACATCTATTCCACTATCATATCATTTGATAAAGTTATCTAATAAAAGTTCATTATGCTCTTCACCACGCAATGCTAAAAGAATTGAATTATAAAAAAATATTCTTCTTAAAAGTCCTTCAGGCAGTGTTGGCACTAGACATATATCCAACTAATTTTTATGTTATTGGACTAGACTGGGCATTGGACATAATACTTGGACATATGTCTAGTCCAATATGTCTAATAATTCTAAAAAATATAAAAAATTTCTTTTAATAAAAATGTGGCCTAACAAAAAAATTTCTCTTGAGCAATTTTACTATATATTTCACTAATTTCTAGCCCTAATATAAATGCCAACCTTAACTTTAATGAAATTTATATAAATTTTATCGTTATCACATGATCACGATTTTCTCAGTTTAATACTGTGAAGACTTATAATTAGCTATTTGTCACATGATTTATATATTACACAATATCTAATGTCCAATACCTTTTGGTCTAATAGATTGGACTGGATTGGACATGGACTAGATATTGAACATGTCCAATGTTTAACCCAACACTACCTTCAGGTGTATTTTTTTGCATTGATGGATGTAAAAGTATAGTCTTAACCTCTTCTAATATTAGTGCTAATGTACCATTCCTTTCTCCAAATCCTTGTATGGCCAAACTTTTCAGCTTCCTATTTAAGGTAGTATTAAATTCATGAAATACTTTCAGATTAAGTAAGTCTACAGGTTTTGGAAGTACTAATTTTTCATTTAAATGTCTCTATAAGGCTGCCATACAATTTCTGATTGATAATACATGATAATCAGTCTCATTTTGTTTTTTTATAGCATAAATAAATTTAGACAATTGTTCTTTAAGAACATTTTTGTTTGTAATGTCTTCAATTTTATCTTGGTACCTCACATCTATTCGAAATCTTTCTAATGCACTAACCCATACTTTCGTTGCATTATGTGTAACTTTAACTCTTTCACTATTTTTTAATCGTTTGAGATCATCCTTTGTAGATTCAGAATACTCAAAATTCTAAATAGAGTTTTATATTAATATAGGTAAGCATAAGTAATAAGTATTATATAATAAAGCATACCTTTTTAATCTTTGGCATTTCAATGATGACATAGCAAACAAGCAAAAAAATAAAAAAAAAGTTTAAAAAAAAAAAATAAAAAATACAATACTAGTTTGCAATCTAAGTTTAGCACAAGGAAAAAAAATCTTTCAAATTGTTATAATGAAATAGAACGAAAGTCTTTTATTAAAAAAAAAAAGACTCAAATAAAAACATTCTTTAAGTAACAGTATTTCTTTAAAATATCATAGCGCAAAAGTTAAAATAATCATATTATGCACGATAATATCTTATACATATAGATCAAATATATATACTAATTTCATATTCATAGAATTGTTTTTGTTACTTTTGGTATAGCTATTATGTAATTTTCAAATAAGATAGAGTAAATTAAAAGGATATTTTTAAGTAGAAAATCATTTTTCAACTTTTAATTTTCCAAATGCAGTATTTTCAAAATTTATCATCTTTATATAAGCTATATAAAATTTATATAAAATTCGAAATAAATTCAATTTAATTACTTTATTAACTAGTGTTACTATATTATTTTTAAAGCTAGACATATATGTCATATTATTAGTCATCTATATTAAACACTTAGTTGAGTTTGATTACAAGAATCAATAACAGTACAGACAACTAAAATTCCAAAACATTGAGCTATATCTTTAAGTTCCAACAAAGTAATTTTTAGTTTGTTAGTAATTAGATCCCAATATATAAAATATATGACAAAAATCTTGCTATTTCCACATATTAATTCATTTGCTATAATCCTAAAAATAAACTATTTAGAATTTTTAACAATAGAACATTGTTGAATTAGATAAATATCTGACATGTCTTGATACTACCTTGATAATTATACTGACAAAAAACTATTTGTCAAACTCTTCTTCTATTAATTATTTAATTACTTTTTTTGTACAAGCTATAGCAGATTGATATAATATTTTTTCAATTTCACAGACTTGTATGGCCATAAAAACTGCTTTAGCACTATACTGTTTTTTATTTTCCATGAGCCAACTTTGAATAGCAACTTTAATTGTTTATTAGTTAGCTTATACATTTTACAGGCTACAGAATGTATTAAAAAAATTCTTTTTTTGTATATTTATTTTGATTTGCTAACTTTACTATACAGTGATTTATTGATTTTTTTCAAGTGATTAATTTTTTTGTATATTAGGATAGTATATCAATTTTTTAATAAAATTACACACTTTTTTATATAAATGTTTAAAGAAAATTTTCCCAACTTTAGGCCTTTTTTTATATTTTATAAGTTTTAATAATAAAATACTAAAATTTAAATCACTATTATCTATTTTTTTGCAATATTTAAAAATGTATTCCATGTTTTTAAATATTTTGATTAAGTTGTTCTTTAGCAACTTTTTCAATTATATCTATAAATGTTATAAGAATTGAATCAGGCAAGTCAATAATGTTCTTTATAAGTTTATCAATTTTTTGTTATCAAATATTATGAACTTCAATTTCATTATCAATATTTTGCTGGATATCAATATTAATTTCTATATTTAATAGTTGTGAACTTGTCAATGTACTGTCACTGCTCTCATTCGCATTATTATCAATTTTTTTTTTAGAAAATTGATGTTGATTATGTGCATTTTTTAAATGGCAATACTGTTTGAATGTTGTTTTGGGACATGGCATTATTTAATTTATTAATACAAAATTTTTTTAAAATAACTACTAAAGGTACACTTTTTGAGCAAAAAATATAACTTTTCTATGTCAATTTTTTTTTTAATCAATAGCTTTTATTACTCTCTTTCCAACAATAACATCAGTTTTACAAATTTCAATAGCTTTATGTTATGTCAAATTTAGATAAAGTTCATTTACATTGTTAAAGAATTTACTCTTATAAAATAGTGTAAATTGAAAAAATAGCTCTATTACACTAAAGTATACAATTTGCTCTATCTTTTTAAAAAAAATTAAACATTAATTAATATACTAGTTCAAGAGAAAAGTATACCGATAGTAGATATTATCCACAGTAAATTCAGATTTTTATAAAAATCTATCACATGCAACCCTAATTAATGTTTGATTTACCTATTATTTTGAACACCCTAATGTGGCATGAAATTTAGAACTTGGCATGCCAAATTTTTTTATCGCGCCAAGAACCCTAGTCATACCCTTTAAATTGATTTTTTTAAATATAGTTAATGATATCTATTAGAGCGGGCCTTGAAAATCTGGAAAATATCAATCTGCATCCTTTTGAAAACATACATAACGCCTAACATACAATCTACCTTAAAGTTGTTAGGCGAAATTTATTTCATGATACGAAAGACGAAACCTGAAGAAGCCTAAGATCTCTTTGGAGAAAGACAAAACCTAAAATTGGGAAAAAGTGAAAGGCGAAAATTTACGAAATCTTGGTGGATATAAAAAAGCTAAGAAGCTAAACTATAGCTAATCAATGAATCTTGAGTATCATGGATGTTGCCATTACCGCATTTTGTGTGTAATAGCAGGACATAAATCTGAAATTTACTTTTTTTAAAAAAATTAGTTAAATTACTAAAAATATTGCCCGCGTGCGTCCCAAATCAACGCGCACTCACTTTTATATAACTTATAGCAATGTGTTTTCTAATCAACTCTTTTTATAATATAAAGTTTTTTTTTAAAAAAATATTTTTACTTAAAATAAGATGCATGTGCGTTTCGAAATAGGCGTTATTACGCGCAAATACAGTAAACACAGGAATGTGGCACCATGTTTAACAGAGTGGTGTGCATTTCACCGACAATCACTTCACCAACAATTAATTCACAGGCAAGTTCATTTACTGACAATTATTTCACAGACAACATTTCACCAACAAAGTAATTCTGGTCATTGTTGTTAGTGTCAGGTTAGAATTAGGGTTAGTGTAATTTATAAAAAATACTTGTTGGTGAGATGAGCTGTCAGTGAAATAATTGTCGGTGAAATTAACTTGTCGGTGAATTAATTGTCGGTGAACTAAGCTGTCTGTGAAGTAATTGTTGGTGAAATAATACGTATCCGTCTAACAATAAGTTTGAATTAAATGATTTGACCATGATTAGCTGATGTGAATGGCTCAGCTCGACTCGTGGCTAACACAGATCAAGCTGAGCCGATCTTTCAGCTCAACAATCAGAACTGTGCCATCTACAAGCCGATCAACCTTGAGCCGAGCCGAGCCGTTACTCTAAGGATAAGATATAGGCTTTCTCATAATTTCTCAACTTTATGTAATTGAATTTATATACGAAGTAAATTTTTTTTTACAAAATATAACCGCCATTTATACTGTGGAAGGCTCTTCGCAGATGAAGCTTTAAGTACTACTCTATGTAAGTATACTTTATTTAGAGACAGTTTTTAAGTAAAAATAATAATGTATAGTAAAATATAAACAAAGTTCCTAATCAATTTACAGAAATTTCAGATAATTTTCTATATACTTGAAATGTTAGGTTTGTAACGATGTTTGGGTAAAGCTTTATCCAAGCAATTAAATAAATTGTCAATGTCATTGAAGTCACAATTCTAAGTGAGTTTATTATCGGCTAATAATAATATGTTATTACCTATCGGCAGCATAGCGAACTTTTATTGTGATTGGTTAGATTTTGTTGATCATCTCGTGATTTTATTGGCCGATCGACCAATCAA